AAAGTTGTGTTCTAGCCCTATCTTACTGATGCCTCACAAAGTTAATGAGCTTGTCCTGCACTAGAAGTAATAAAACCCTTTCCAGGCCTCCCCTCTTTTCACCCATTTCCAGATTCCCAGAAGTGCTATTCTACGCTGTTCTTCTTTCTTTTTTACAACAGAGGAATATACCATGTTTGTAAAATACCCTTTAGAAAAACGAATAAAATTCAAATGAAGTTTATATGTTTGTGAGTAATAATGTATTAATATTGATTCATTAGTTGTGATAAGTATACCATAGTAATGTAAGAGTTAACAATTGAATTATATTACAAATTATGTTACAAAGCAATAGTAATCAAAGCAGTGCAGTACTGGCATAAAAACAGACACATACTCTGTTGGAACAGAGTAGAAAACTCAGAAATAAGTCTATGCATGTGTAGTCAACTATTCTTCAACAAGTATGCCAAGAATACACAACGGGGAAAAGGACAATCTCTTCAATAAATGGTGTTAAGAAAACTGATGTCCACATGAAGAAGAATGAATTTGGATATTCATCTCACATCACACACAAAAATCAACTCAAAATTGATTAAAGGTTTAAACATAAGACCTGAAACCATGAAACAAGAAGAAAATATAGAGGGAAGCTCTTTGACATGGGTCTGGGCAATGATTTTTTTAGCTATGACATCAAAAGCACAGGCAACAAAAGTCAAACAAGTGGGACTACATCAAAAGTTTGTGTACAGCAAAAGAAACAACAGAATGAAACAATAGTCTATGGAATGGAGGAAATATTGACAAACCATACATTTGACAAGGGGTTAATACCCAGGATGTACAAACTCATACAACTCAATTGCAGAAACAGAAACAGCCCAATTTTAAAATGGGCTAAAGATCTGACATCTTTCCAAAGAAGATATACAAATGGCCAATACGTATATGAAAATGTGCTCAACATCACTAACCATCAGGAAAATGCAAGTCAAAATCTCCATGACATATCACCTCACACCTGCTAGGGGGGCTACTGCCAAGAATCAAGAGATAAGTGCTAGTGAGATGTAGAGAAAAAGGAACCCTTGTACACTGTTGGTGAGCATGTAAATTAATATAGCCATTATAGAAAGTGTGGAGGTTCCTGAAAAATCGAAAAATAGAATTAACACATGATCCAGCAAGTCCACTTCTGGGTATGTATCCTAAAGAAAATGAAATCAGAATCTCAAAGTGTTATCTGCATTGCCATGTTCATTGCAGCATAATTCACAGTAACCAAGACATGTGAAAAACTGTGTCAACAGATGAATGGATGAATAAAACAATCACATACACACGATGGAATATTATTCAGCCTTTCAAAAGAGAGGGGTTCTGCCATTTGGGACAGCATGTATGAACCTGGAGGATACAGTATCAAATGAAATAAGCCAGACACAGAAAGGCAGATACCGCATGGCCTCACTTATATGTGGAATCTAAGAAAATCAAACCCATAGGAACAGACAGAAGTGGTGCTTACCAGGGACTGGAATGGGGGAAACGGGGAGATGCTGGTCTAAAGTACAGACTTTCAGGTATAGGGTAAATAATTTTTGGAGACCCAATGTGCAGCGTGGTGACTATTGTTAATAATTATTGCATAGTTGAAATTTGCTAAGAGAGTAGCTCTTAAGTGTTCTCGCTACACACACAGCGTAACTAGTGAGATGATAGATATGTTAATTAACTTGATTATGGAAACCATTTCACAATGTGTATGTGTACCAAATTATCACACTTATACCTTAAATATATACAATTTTAATTTGTCAATCATACCTCAATAAAGCTGGGAAAAAAAAATAGGGGAAATTAGGTGAGGGGTTATATGAGAACTAGTTGTACTATCTTTGCAACTTCTCTGTGTATCTAAAGTTACTCTAAAATAAAAAGATTAGTGAAATGGAAAAATATTTTTCTAACATAAAACAGTATCTGGTACACATTAAAAATCCCATTAATGCTGTATTTAGAATTATATAATTATATTGGTTTGGTGTCAATGCTTATATATGTTTTTGTATGAAAGAACAGATTAGAAATGGCCTCTAGAGGACAGTGTTGGGTTATAGAAAAACGTTTACAGTTTCTGCCCAAGTTGAAGACGAACTTAACCATTTTTTTCTCACTTTTAACCACAAGCCCTCTGTTCACTCATTGTCTCTCTTTAAAAAGGAAAAAAAAAAGCTAAAGAAAATTTATACCACATCTGCTGTTCTGATTAGTTGGATATCTTGTTTTAACTTATTTTCACATAATGTTGGCTCCATAAAGATCTAATACCATAGTCTTCACCATAGTGTTCATGTCACTGAGGAATTATAAGGTTGTGAGGGAACCCAGGGAGGTAATATGAGGCTCATATCTTATTATTTGTGAGTCCTTGCATGATGGAGACAGAATGATGGAGTTAAACTTCCTTTGGAAGTTCTAAAACCAGTTTGTAGATTGATGAGGATGCTTATAAGATAAAGAGGGGTTTTGATCTTTTTATGGTTGAGACTGTCTGCTCTATGGTGGTTTGTTGGGAGTGGGAGGAAAGGGACCCAACCATTACTGTAGCTTCTGGAATAAATTTCTGGAGTAAACATAATAGCAACTCAAAAAAAATTTTTTTTAAGTTGTGGGGTACAATTCAGAGTTTGGTATACAAATGGTCATTGTACAGGTAAAGTTTGGGCCTCACTTTGGTCCCCACTTCACCTAGTTTGAGATCAGGTACCCTTATTGATAAGATGCAAAACCCCCCTCACCCCACCCCACCGTCCCCTGGGAGTTTCCCGCTACTACCAATCTCTTTCTTATAGTATTATGATCATTGTTCAGGGGCTGCTCAAAATTTTAATTTTAAAATAGCACTCTGTGGGTCGCTCCGTGAGACTGACGTTTTATTTGTAAGAGGCTCCTGGAGTCAGGAGGTGCAGAGTGCTACTCAAGCACAGTGGAGCCATATGAGCATTAATTTGCAAAATGCTCCCCTTGGATCTTTGTTCACATATTGATGGGCTCAGAAATTCTGAAACACATCATTCTGTCATGAAATGGATTAACTTTTCTGCTGATAGTGAAGTCTTAGGGCTCCACTCACACTAGGTGTGAATCTGGTATAAACATTAAAACATAGTTGTCATTTGGATGACAGTGTGTTCCACCTAGCAGCAGCCTATAGATTTCATATTTTTTGCTCAAAGAATAAATCTGTTAAAAGCTCATTCACTGAATTGGAATCTATGAGCCTTTTAATAGGATTTTTGAAAGGGAGTGGAAAATTTACAGTTTCTTCTAAATAGCCTGACATGAAAGTTAAGGTCAATAGAATTTTTTTTTCAGCCACTCCATCAAAGTTGAACCTATGGGCAGGAATCTGTTTCTTTCTCATCTATCAGGTGCCAGGCATTCTCTTTCTCAGGCATAGTCTTTTCTTAATTTAGTACTGGTTTAAAAGTTCCATTTACCATATAAATATTTAATAAATATTTAATAATAATTTGAGATGGCCAGGCTTGGAGGCTCAGCCTATAATCCCAGCACTTTGGGAGGCCGAGGTGAGTGGATTGCCTGAGCCCACAGATTCGAGACCCACCCCGGCAACTTGGCGAGACCTCGTCTCTACAATAAATAAAAAATTAGCTGAGTGTGGTAGCGCCTACCTGTAGTTCCAGCTACTTGGAAGGCTGAGGCAGAAGGATCGTCGGAGCCCAGCGGGTCGAGACTGCAGTGGCCAGGAGCGTGCCACTGCACTCCAGTCTTGGTAACAGAGTGAGACTCTAACTCAAAAATAATAATAATAATAATAATTTGAGATGTAGTTTGGTCCTTGAGATAGTGATTAGTTCCCCAACCTGTTCTGTATCTCAGGAAAAGGCATCACTTTATCCCAGTTGTGCAAGTCAGAATCCTGAGAGTCATCCTGGACTCCTCTTTTTTTCATTCTTACCCATAATGGAAGTAGCACTAGATCCTGTCAGTTCTACTTCTTAAATATTTAACCATCGCCGGGCTCGGTGACTCAGCCTGTAATCCCAGCACTTTGGGTGGCTGAGGTAAGTGGATTGCCTGAGCCCACGGGTTCGAGACCCGCTTGGGCAACTTGGCGAGACCTCATCTCTACAATAAATCAAAAACTAGCCGGGCATGGTAGCGTGCGCTTGTAGTTCCAGCTACTTGGAAGGCTGAGGCGGAAGGATCGCCGGAGCCCAGCAGGTCGAGGCTGCGGTGGCCAGGAGCGGCCACTGCACTCCAGTCTGGGTGGACAGAGTGCGACTCCAACTCAAAAAAATATATATATATATATTTAACCATCCACTTTTCTCTCCATGGCCACCATTCCATTACAAGCCCTTGTCATACCTGCTTAGATTACTAAAGAGGCTGCCTCAATCTCAACCAGTGTAGTCTTTCAGAACACACACCTATGAGATTTTCATTGATTTCCCATTGTTCTTAGGCTACAACCAAAGTCACTTTCATGGACTTTAAGGTTCTGGAAGGTCTGGTCCCCTGCCCTTCTCTCCAGCCTTATCTTGAAACATTCTCCTTCTTGATCCCTGTGCCTTAGCCTTATCGTCTGCAATGCGTTACAACAGAGTCTCAGTGCGTGTAATTTCCTTTATGTGAATGTCTCTTCCCTGCAGTCTTCGTCTCATTACCTTCTACTCATCCCTTATAAACCAGATGGAACATCATTTTCTCATGAATGACTTCCCTGATCTCCTAGACTAAAAGGTTTCCTCTCTCACGTGCTCTTATAAACCCATGCTCCTTCGCTTCATTGTGTTCACATAAATGTATAGCCTCTCTGCTGTGTTGTTTTTTGATTAATCTGCCTTCCCTAACAGAATATAAGCTTAGTGAGCAGGGATCTTTCCCGCGTGTGCTCATCATCAACTCCCCAGCACTTGTCACAGTGCTTGGAAAAGCAGTTGTTAAATGAATAAATGAGTATTTGTGTATTGAATGTTTAGGTAGAGGAAGAAGAACCCACTGGATATATTCGTTTCGAAAAATTTCTTCCAGTGATGACCCAAGTACTACTAGAAAGAAAGTAAGTAAACGCAATTGTTAAGGCAACATAATGAGCAGAATTACATTAATTTCAAAACACTTTACTTTTTCACTTTGTATATTATATTCAACCAGTATATCTTAAGGAAGCTTCCTTCTAACCTTTCTGTATACTTCTGAACTGCCAGTTGGTGAGTGCTTAGAAATACCAACCACTGTAAAGCAAAGCATAATTCAAGGACAGATAAGCTACAAAGATCATAAGTCAACATTCTTATTATCTTCTACTTTGAGTTATCAATGATGAATAAAAATCTTAATTATTTTTATAGCAAAAGTATAACATTAGCTTACCACAGCTGGTTTATTGTAGAGGTTTTGTGGCCAGATACATTGATTTCCAAAAAGCTAACTATAACATCAAACATGTCAGTGATTTTGAACTAACTCTTTCCTGTTGGGCTGAGGTACTTTCAATTTTTATATCCATACTTCAAAAATATTTCATTGAGGGAAGTATTACCATCCCGATATATTAGCAGTTTTTATTATTTTATTGGTCATTTATTACGTAAAAACTGAGATAAATACTGTCATTTACTTACACATATTTACTCATTTTATTGCATAATTGTAGATACAGACCAATTCCAGAAGATGTTCTTCTTCGAGCTTTTGAGGTATGTAAGCTCCAGATTTTATATATATATATACTTATATAAAAAATTTACCATGTAGAACTTTCCAAACAAAAAATATAATATCTATCTTTTCTTTTCCCCTAGGTTTTAGATTCAGCTAAACATGGGTTTCTTACGAAGGAAGAGCTGATCAAGTATATGACTGAAGAAGGTAAGAGTGATTTATTACTTATAACAGTGACTTATTATGCAAAAATTATAGGGGATTCTGAAAATGAATCGTTCTGGTGAGAAAGAATTATTTTCTATTCCTATTATTTTGGTTTTGGGATGGTTTTTGTTTTATGAGGGTTAAGAAGACAAAGGGTAGGGGAAGGGGAGATGGATTGTTGCCTCATAGAATTTTGTAAAGTGTAATGATTACTTCTGTAAATTGCAGCCATTCCATTCAGAGTATTTCCTGAATAAAAGCCATGCCACCTAGAAAACATGAGCTATCAATCACTGTTAATTAATGCCTGTAACTAGATTGAAGATTTGAATTCTTCTTTAAAGAGCTTTTTAGTTGGCAAAGTTACAGATAAAACACCCTCAGATGAATATGAAATAACACAAGAAATGAAATTTCATGGAACTATATATATTTGCTTTGAGCATGGACTATACACATTTTATGTGCCTGTACACTTTATGTACCAACATATTTTCTTAGGAATTCTCTCTGCTTAGGCCGATGTGTAAATTGTTTTCACTGAAGGGCAGTAGCCCAATGGCTAGTCTCTTGAAAACATCCTCATATTGGTCACCTTTCCTCTTCCCAAAGATAGAGTTCTGTCTCTTTTGTTCAGTTCCCTGGTTTACAGATTGAGTCCTAAGTGATTCAAAGTCACTAATCACTGGAGACAGAATCAAAAGTACAAATAGTTTTGAGTAGGGAAGACTAAGACTGCATCTACATGTGCAACTGGTTTGACCATTTTGGCTTGATCCAACCTTAGGTGGGAACATGGGGAGTGAGAGTGAGAATGACATGACAATCTTACCTGCCACCCAGAACTCTTATACCATTGTTCAGATTATCTCAGGGATTAACTTTGATGAGAATGTTATGACTTTCAAAGTATCAACCTCTTAATCCTAAGGATTTGTTTAAAGGAAGTAAATCCTAGGTTGTATTAAGCAATATGAATTTACCAAAATGATTCAATCAGTTTAATTTCATTAGTATTGTGTGCCTACTGTATCTTAAGTATGGTGTAGCAATGCTGAAATCTCCCTCTTTCAAGGATATTACAATTTTATTGGAGAACTAAAACTAACTTATAAAACAATTTATAGTACAAGCCAGTAGAAAAGTAAAAAGCCAGCAGAAGATCACCAGCCTGGAAAGCTTGGTCTAGAAAGACTTGGGAAGTAGGTTTTTTAAGAGGGTAGAATTTATATGGGTAAGTTGTTGAGGGCAGGGGTAAAATCTTACGCATTATAATATATTCACACATATTAGATCTTAACAAATGTTTGTTGAATTAATGAATGGCTGAGTAGATGAATGGAGGTTGGGTTCAGGGGCTGATGAGAAGGAGACATTATAGATGGATAAAACAGTATGAACCAAAACTGGGAGGCAGGAATTAGCATGGTATTTCAGAGTCCTATGGGGAGACAGTCCTGGCTGGCCCAGAAGACAATATTAGCAAACAGCAGGACATTAATTTAGATAGATTTGCTCGGCATAAATTGTGGTGGTCTGGGCTAAGGAGTTTGGAATTCATCCTGTGGGCAATGGGGAAGTATTGTAGGGTTTTGAGCAGATAAGTCACACAGTGCAAGAGTGATTGTGAGGTTATTCTGGTGCTGGTAGGTTGTTAGATGAATGAGAGAGAGGTTGGACTAGGGAGATCAGTTAGAAGCCATCGTAGCATTTTGAAAGCACCCTAATCGGGGCCTGACCAGACAATGGCAATGGGAATGGAAAGAAGAGATTGATGCAATGGGACTGCTTTGACAGGATCCACGGTCATGACGAGTAACAGAGTACAGGGGACAAAAATGGGAGCTGAGTCAAAAGGAACAACAAAGCTTTGACCTGGATGACAAGTATTATGGTAATGCTACTGACTAAAGCAGGGAAATCAGGAACAGATGGTAGTGTATACAGAGACAGTGCAATCACGTGGTTTACTTGGAGGTGCTCTGTGGTACTTCCCAAAACAGCATATTTACAGCTATAGTACTTAAAGATCAACTATTGGTCGGGCTCAGTGGTTCAGCCTGTAATCCCAGAACCTTGGGAGGCCGAGGCAAACGAATTGCCTGAGCCTGCAGGTTCTCGACTTACCCAGACAACTTGCTGAGACCTTGTCTCTACAATTAAAAAAAAAAAAGATCAACGATTGGGTATCTCAGTGAATTAAGCATAGAATAATTATTTTTAGTTAAGACCATATATGGTTTCAATTATTCATTCAACAAATATTAAATATATTCCACATTAGATGAGCTCTAATGTGCTTGATAGTGATATATAAGATTACAGTACTGAAAAGATTTAAGTATTATTTAATATAACAGACTCATCAGCCAAGTGTAGTAACAGGTGACTCGTCTGATAAAATAGTTGCCTAAGAATTGGTGCTTTGAGATTCTCAGAATTCTACAAATTGTTTTTTAGTACATCTATGCTTTATAACAATATGGATTAAAGTTGCTTGCACTTTTCATCATGTCCACAGAGCATCAAACACATTAATCAGTTTGAGAATATGAATTCTTAATACCTAGGATGTCATGCGATAAACATAATAAATCATATTGAATTAAGTTCCTACAAGATAGAGGTCCAGGGATGTGTGTTGCATCAGACAGTATTTAGCATCAGGGAAGATCTAAAAAAAAACCAACCAAAAATCAAAAAAACTATAAAAAAAAACACAAGTTGCTGCTTTATGTGCCAGCTACTGTTCTAAGTACTATTCAAATAATAATACACTTAACTCATAACAACCCTATGCTATATGTAATATTATTATCATGTCTATTAAATCAGCAAGTAAACTGAGGCACAGAGCAGTTAAGTGACTTGCTCAAGACCTTAAAGCTAGTGAGAGAGCCCGCATTTGAATCCAAGCAGACTGGCTTCCAAGCTTGTGCTTTTAACGATTAAGCTATTTTCCTCTCTTCCTTAATCAAATAACACATCTTCCTCGCTCAAGGATGCAGTGTCATCACCTTCTGTATTTTTCTGTGAGCAAGGCCCTTATGCAGTAGAGTGTGGTAGTTCAGCTCACAGACTGTGAGCTGGACTGCTAGCATTCAGACTCCAGTTTTATCACTCTCTCGCTCGCTGGGGCAGTTGGCCTTGTTTTTTTTGTTTGTTTTTTTGTTTGGTTTGGTTTGGTTTGGTGTGCTTGTGTCCCCAGCTATAAATGGGAATGATAGCAGTTCTTACCTCTCATGAGGTGGTTAGGAGGTTAACTTAGTTATTGTGAAGTACTTAGGCCAGTGCCTGGCACACAGTGGTGCTTAATAAGTGTTTGTTACTAGTATTCTTCAGGGATTGACATCAAAGTCCATTTGGCAGTAGATTTAGTCAGGTATAAGAAAGATTCAGAATTTGTCTTTTTATCATTTTAGACATTCTTTCTTTTCTTAGGAGGTAAGCAGGGTTTCAAGAGGACTCTGCACATTCTTCTTGTCTTCATTGTCATCAAAACCCAATTTGAATCATTTCTGTAGTATTAACTGAATTCCAACTTAGAAAGCATTGTTTGTAGTGACAGGTGACTAAGTTCATGAAGTAGGTCAGCCTCAGACTCTGGCAACTCACCTGCTTAAATAAGACTCTTTAGGGATAAAATGGTAATTTGGATGTTTCTATATTTTTGCCTAATGTCACAACAAAGTTCTAACCTTTGTAGACAAAGTCTACAGCCTTTTCAGTGTTCTCCCTGCAATTGCTTCTCTTTTTGTTGAAACCAGTCTCCAAGATGACTCTCAGCAGTATCTGATTTTCTACCCAACTTTTGGTTTCAACAGTTTTGATACAGTTGGTGGGTGGCATCTCTCACTGGGTCCAGCTGGCATCACCAAGTTGGCCAGACCTGGTTAGGAAGTATTCCGAGATATCATCATTATAATTACAAGTTTCTGCTGTCTGTTCTTTATTTTGCATAGTAGCCATTTCATTATCTCTTCATACTCTAACTAAACATAAGGATTAGACACCCTATAAAATAGGGACCTCAGATTAATCCTTTGGTAATTCAAGCAGTTTTAACTTAAAGAAGTAAACAATCTTATTCATGATGTCTTTATGTCCTCCAACTGTTTGGGTTGAAATGATGAGTTCTATAGGTTTCTGGAACTGTGATGCCTGCAGGACAAGATAAGTCCACAATTTGCCTGGTTGTGTAACAGCATGCTCTTTGAACCTCTGGACTGTCATGATGTCCAGGCTTCGCAGCTCCAGGGAGAGTACCTAGTGACACATCAGAGGCTTGTGGGGCTCTATGGCAATAAAGCTGGCTAGTGGAAAGACAAAGGAAAAAATGTCAGATGACTGGAAATGATGGATTTTCCTTCTTGTTCCTCCCAGGTGAGCCTTTTTCTCAAGAAGAAATGGAAGAAATGTTGTCTGCTGCAATTGATCCAGAATCAAATTCAATTCATTACAAGGACTATATAACAATGATGGCAATAGATGAAAATTAAATGTTCTAAAGATAATTTCTTATTGAAAGGACAGTTTTTAAAATTGCTTGTTCTTGTTAATTTCACATTTTGTCTTGTAATTTCTATATCTAATATTTAATACCTTGTGACAACTGTTTCAAGGTTTTTTTGTTTTTAAAGGTGATCATAACAATTTAAAACAAATTTATTTAGTGTGTCTAGCCTTATGGAATGACAAACTGCTATTATTTGAAAACTATTCTTAAAACACTTTAACATTAAAATGGATTGTTGTTTATCTTCTATGATAAAACTCAGGTTACCTTCAAATTAATTAAACTGACAAGAAAGAATAATTATAACGGCCCACGATTTGGCATATGAAGATCTTGAGGGGGGCAGAATGACCACCAACTAAAAATTACTAACAATTTGATGAAGGCTTCTTTTTAAAACAACAAACACTTCAGCAATCAGAATGTGGAAGGAGAGTTATTGAAATGAATGTTAAGAAGTGATTCCTAATGAATGCCAATTATAAAACTTGTTTGAGATTATAATAACTTAATGTAAAAATTTAAATTTGCTGATCCAGCATATCACCATTTATGGAATAACTACAGTTGTTGAGATAATCAAATCTAGAGAAAAGAAGACTGAATGACAATGGATAATGTAAGGTAATGGCAATTCTTTCTTGGTCTTTAGACTTCTCATCTATTCAGAATATCTGTCACAGGATTATTATCCTTACTGAGTAAGAATATTGAGAAATGTTATGTGCAGGAGATACAGCTGTTGAAATAGCAGAATAAAGTTATCTGAGCTCAAGGAGTCACAATAGAAAAATACATGGCAACTTAAAAACAAAAGGAAGAATAAGGTAAAGGGAAATTAATAATTTTATATAGCCTATATATTCTTTCATACAACACTCACAGAGAGATTTCTATTTAAAGATGGCTTCACCCGTATATGTGTATATACACATAAACATACACATGTCAGGTTGCTTGATTCTTCCTCATAGGCATGCAGTTTTACCCCCAGTAGAGGGGGCAATCCAAGAGACTACTTATCACAGTTCATTCATTCGTGAAATGTTTAATGAGTATTGTTAGATAATGTGCTAGGAACTGGGTTGAAAGATAAGTTCCTAACTAATTGAGGTTACAGTTTAGTGAGGGAGAGCTGCAAATAGATCAGCAACTGCATTCAGGGTACAGAAGAGTGCATAATCAAGGCAGCTATTTCAGTCTTGGAGGAGGAGAGATTTCTGGGAGAGGAAAGGTACAGGTAAGAAGGCTTCCCAGGACAGGTAATAAATGACTTAAAAATAAGTAGTTTAGTAGTGGGCAGGGGGGCACAGGACATTTCAGTAGGGTAGCAGCAGGTACAAAAACCCAAGGGACATCATGAAACATGGAGCAATCTGGGAATTGAAAGTAGTTCAGTATATTTGGAATGTAGGAGATTTGGGGAACACGATGGGAGACGATAGTGGAATGATAGACAGGAGCTGCATCATTAGTAGTACTGGGTTAAGTGGGGAGTTATGGCTTTAGCATTAAAGTCTGGATTTTATTCTGAAGATCATAGAGAAAGAAAGATCATTGGTAAACAGCATGGCAAATAGATTTGATGGGTCAAGACTAGAAGTGAGGAGACCAATGTGGAGGTTACTGATCCAGCATGTCATCATTTATGGAATAACTAAAGTTGTTGAGATAATCAAATCTAGAGAAAAGAAGACTGAATGGAAATTGATAATGTAAGGTAATGGCAATTCTCTCTTGGTCCAAATGACATGTTGCCATTTGGTGGGTGGGAGGAGGTGGACTGGGTAAAATCAAGCATGAGTTCTAGGTATCTGGTTCAGACACTGGGTATATAACAGTGGCGTTCATTCAGATGAGAAAGCTACGAGCGAGTTGGGAGTTGGTAGGCAAAAGGATGAGTTTGATTGTGGACATCTCGGGACACCCGAATGAAGATATTCAATAATCAACTGGATAGATAGAAGGGAAATCTGGATTTTGGAATTTTCAGCTTATAAGTAGTGGTTAATGCCTTGGAAGGAAAAGAGAAGAGGGTTAAGAAGAGAACCATGGGGAATATCAGCATTTACGGGAGGGCAGAGGAAGAGAAGGCCACCAAAGAGACTGGGAAGGAAAAGCCTGAGAGAATGTAAAGCCAGAGAGAAGCATCTTGGAAGACAAGATAGGAGAGAATTGCAAGAAGGAGGCAGTAGCCATGTTAAATGTCACAGACATTTAAGGTAAATTAAGACAGAAAAGGCCAGGCTCGGTGGTTCAGCCTGTAATCCCAGCACTTTGGTTGGCCGAGGCGAGTGGATTGCCTGAGCCTGTGGGTTTGAGATCAGGCTGGGCAACTTGGTGAGACCTCGTCTCTACAATAAATTAAAAATTAGCTGGGCATGGTAGCATGTACCTATAGTTCCGGCTACTTGGAAGGCTGAGGTGGTCGACACTGGGGTGGCCACCGGTGTGCCACTGCACTCCAGCCTGGGTGACAGAAAAAAATGCCAATTAGTGTTAGTAATGAAGAGTTCATTGAGAACATCTCCTAGAGCAGATTTGGTGAAGCAATAGGGTGTAGAGTTCAGTTAGTTGAGGGATGAATGTATGAGAGAAAGTGGAGCCTGGAGGACAGGTTACTTGGCAGTCAAGAGAAGGAAAGAGACAACAGGCTGAGGGAGTGATCGTTGGGAGATGGGGTGTGTACAAGCACATTCCTATTCCAGGGGCTGGGAGCCAGCAGAGAAGATGAAGACAGTAAGAAGGTGGGGAAGCTCAGCTTCCAGAGTAATGACAGGATGCAGGTAAGAGCCACAGACCAATGCATGTAGTCCCCACATAATGGCCTCCAGTGTCTTTTTGGGAGGAAGGTAGTAGGTTATAAAGCTGGAGGAGAATGGTAAACTTTTGCAGTATCTCGTGGGAGATGGGAGAAAGAGTTGAAAAAGAGACCATATGAAAATTTTCAAGAAACGCTGGAGGATTTTGTTCAGTAGCCCAACCTCATAAACAAAAATCATCAAGTGTTATATTGCTTCAGGGTTAAGGTTTTGTCCTGTGGGTGAGATGGAAGGAACAAAAGGGTGAGGAATCTGCAAGAAAGCAGTTGTAATCATGGTCCATGGGGTTAAAGTATTAGGGAAAGATCCAGGTAGGAATGGGCTAACAGAGATGGGGGTCAAGGAACTCAGGATGTCTAAAAGGACAAACAGAGGCTGTGGTGGGAACAAGGGATGGTTTTTCCTACTACTCTTGGATAATCATAAGTTTTGCTTGAAATTTCACTTCACTGTGTTCTTAGAGTGTTTCTTTGATTCTCCTATTTGTTGTTATAATTAGTAAGAGTAGCTAACATTTATTGACTGTTCACTATGTGTCAGACACTGTTCTAAGTGCTTTACAAATATGAACCCATTTGATCCTCACTGCCACCCAATGATGTGGGTACTATTAGGTTATCCCCATCTTATAGAGGTGGTAATGAATACATAGCAAAGAGGGATTGTATTCGTCAGCTTTTGCTAGGTTTTGTTGTAATAGCAAAACCTCCAGATCTCTGTGGTTTATAACAATGAAAGTTATGCTTGCTCGTGTTTTATATCTGCTGGGGTCAGTGGGACTCTGCTTCACATGTCTTCTTTGCTCTCTTCATCTGCTTCATAAGTAGGATGATCATATGGCTAGGTTTTTCCCAGAATAATTATTAATAGTTAGAATAATATTAATCTCTTTTTTACTCTTACAAGTGTTTCAGTTTAGATGATTAATATGTGGCCAACCTGTCCAAAAAATGGTGACTAAACATGATGGTGAGGAATCATCACTTATGGAAGGCTTTATGAAAATAACTCTAGCAATGGTATTGCTTCCTTCTCTAGTTTTCCAAGAGAAGATTTTTCCAAGGTAGAACCCAAATGGAGAACTGAGGTGCTGCTCCCTTAGCCACACATGTTAGAATCACTGCCCAGGGATGACAACGAGCCACATGCCTTTGGGTCAGGGCAGAGAAGTAGGAGGAAGGCGACCTTCAGAACACTTACAGACAGGCTGCTTATGATAGGCGACACATTGCAGCTGGGAAGGAGGGTGGCAGAGACATGAAATACCCTTCAAGGTGGAAGCGTACCCAGGGGCATATCATTTGGCGGCAGTGGCTGGTACCAACATGTTGTGTTAAAGTGTATATCCGTGCCTAATGCATAAACCCAAGCACAGACTTGTTTGGAGCATAGGAGACAGCTCTGAGTTGTCTCCCATTATCCATTATCCTTCATAACCCTGGTTATGCCAAAGAAATGTGGTCTGGTGAATTAACCTCAGTCTCTTGATAATTAAGTGGTGACAATAAATTCTCTTTTCCAAGGGAAGCTCCCACATCCAGAAGGCAGTAGAGGGAGGGTGCCTCAGAATAGAATTCTCTCAAAAGTTCTGACTGATATCAATCTTTACATCCTGTCTCAAAGGAATCCTCCCTGTTTAGTAGCCATAGAGTTGGCTTTGTGGAACATAATTAATTTTTATCTTTAGCACAAATTTTTCTGTTTTTTAAAGCCATCAAAAAAGCAACCCAAGCTTCCCACAGACAACTCATTTTATCTCGCAGCTGCCGAGTAAATGTACCATGTTTTCAAAAGGAACATCTTTGCTTTTCATTCAGACCATTTCAGCATGTATTTTACTCATCTACCTTGCCCTCAACATCTGATTGAAATCACTATGGCATTTTCCTGTCAATGAGAGTGCTTGGCCTTTTGTGTAGAAAGTTGGCTTATCTTCATGCCCCCTGGCTTCTGCAAAGCCAGCCATACCAACAGCTCTGCAGGACCTGGTGGAAAGCTGTCCCTGTTCTCACATCTTGGGCTAAGAAAGCTGCATGACTCAGAGGTGACAGGCTGGCCTGGGAGTCTGGCGACCTCGCGCTCTGATCCTGGCTTTATCTGTGACTCACTCTGGGTCAGGTGCTTTGCCTCTTATACTCCTCTGTAACAGAAAGAGCCCAACTTTAGTGCTTCTTCCACCTATGGAAGCAGTGCAGTTTGGTCCTCTTTGCAGACACTCAGTTGGTCCAAGTGCTAAATGCCTAAGGGATACAAAAAAGAGTGCAAAACAGCAGGAGAGTTGGGATTATGACTGGGAGTTAACGACAGGATTATTTTCTACAGAATGCAGTGTGTTTAGATTTTTCTCTCCTACTTTCCTGTCTTTTCTCCTTTCCCTTTTCTAGCTGCTCTCATATAAGATAAAGGACCTCATTTATACGGGCAACTCCTTGAAGGAGATTAATGTTACTTCTGGGCAGTTTCAATAAGCAGAAAGCCTCATGGTCACATATTCCCCATGGTGGCTGCCTTCTAGGCCTGCATATTTCAGTAAGTATGGTTGCCAAGCACCTGGAAGGGGCGTTTATTCGAAATTCAGACACCTGTTCCATACCCCCTAAAACAGAATCTCTGGAGGTGGGGTCCAGGAACC